ATCAAACCAGACGATGATGGATAGCACAGATATTGCAAATCGTATAGCAAAGTTAATCGAAACACTTTTTTCATTTAATTAACCGCTCTTTTTATAGGCTTTTAAACGTAATAACACACTATAAATAAAATTTGTTTGATATACTTTGAACAAAGGCTTAGAGTCTAATGATTGAAGGAGGCATGAAGCATGCGCAGTTTCCACGTGAGACCTAGAGTTCAGTTAAAGGAGCACTCTGATGAAACCGCCCTATAATTTGAAAACCCGAAAAATTCAGTTATTTCATTATAATATCAATTTTTAGTGATTAATAAAGCCTTTTCAATAATAATTTTAGTTGAAAGTCAATTCTAGGGCGAGAAATTACGATTTGAAAACCGTTCCGCAATTAATTTTCGTTATCACTTCCTATTGAGGGTCTTTCTGCTGTACCCATTGGAAGGTTGTTTCCGTACCATAAAATGAGTTGTTCAAAAATACAGATCTTTTAATCTGGAAGCCGTCTTTTCTTCAGTGAAAGTAAAAGAAATCGTAATTTACATATCTTCTAGGGGGACATTACCCCTGTTCGTGAAAATTGTATTTTTATCTCCTCTTCCACAACACATCACCTTCACAGTACCACTGTACAAGAACTGTAAGATATGCTTCTGGGTTTTCAATATCCGAAATTGAAATACACGGGGCCTAGTAAGGGCTAAAGCCAAGACAATGTACCAACAATAACACTTTTTCAAGATAGTGAACATTTTTCAATTAAGATATTTACAAAGTCCATTGTAGCCCGCAGTTAACATGACTGTTCTTGATGGGCTGCTAAGACTACACTTAGTAGACAATTTAATTAGCTCGCAGCACTCGGGTACCTGCATGAATGTATGGTGGTCCTTTTTTTGTAGTTCTTGTCTTTGGTTTGGGAAAGGAACAAATGAAAACGTGTCACAAAACGCGATATATATATCTCATTAGACGTTTTGTTGTGTAGCATCGCTGAGTATTTTTACAAGTTGTGCCGTGTTTTGACGAGCCCGTAGGGCGAGTCAAAATACAAATAACGAG